AAAGACACACACACACACACATTCGCACACGCACACACATTCACACACGCACACACATTCACACACACACACATTCGCGCGCGCACACACACACACACACACACACACACACACACACACACACACACAAGCACTCATGGAAACAGAAAACAAAATTCCGTTCTATACCAGCACAAACCCAGTCTATAAGATAACACGATAACGAATGCCCCACCCTGTGTGCATGCACGCGAGCGAGTGTGAATGTATGTGTGTGTGTGCCTATGTCTACACGTGTAAATGTTCGGCTCTACTGGCAAATCCGGACGAAAAATAAAAAGCCTTGGACGACTTAGTCAGAGTTCTCTCCCTTGGCCGCACTCCAAATAGAGATCGGAAAAGCCACAACGAAACAAACGACACACTTACCTATCATCCTACGGTTGCGTGTAGGGCTGCGTACGGTTGCGTGAGGCATCGTGAAGGGATGCGTGGTTATCATATGGTTGCGTGCAGGGTTGCGTACGGTTGCGTGAGGCAACGTGAATGGTTGTGTAGTCATCATGCGGTTGTTGGGTTAGAGTTAGGGGTAGGGTTAGGGGTAGGGTTAGGGTTAGGGTTAGGGGTAGGGGTAGGGTTAGGGGTTGGGTTAGGGTTAGGGGTAGGGTTAGGGTTAGATGTGAAAATTTGACGTAGGATTTCGAAATACTGGCCGACAATCAGATGTTTGATGGAGTGGCGCCACTGAAACTGCCAAATATGACGCCAATAGCGTGCGGCTGGTGCCCCCAATCGTTGGCGAATTGTGCGTTTGATCAGCATCCAGAGGCCCTCGATTGTTTGTGTGTGTGTTTGGGACTGTGCGCGATTATAGGGAAATCCGGCGTCAAAATTGTCAAATCTAACGCTAAACCTAACCCTACCGCTAACCGTAATCCTAATCCTACTCCCTAACCCTAACCCCTACCCCTAACCACGCAAATTTATCGATCATTAAAGCATACAAATCGGCAAAAACCAACAAACAAAACACACCCAAAAAAAAAAAAAAAACAGATCTGGGGGAAACAACCAAGCATTGGCATCCCTGATGTCGACGTGACTGTCTTCTTTGTTTCGTTTGGATTTTCCGATCACTGTTGGGAGTGCGGCCAAGGGAGAGAACTCTGAGTAAGTCGTCCAAGGCTTTATATTCTTCGTCCGGATTTGCCAGTAGAGCCAAATGTTCTAGTCTCAGTCTTGGAAAACAATGCACCTTTCTTTTCGTCGTCGCCGTCACCAGCTGGCATTGTTATCATTAGGGAACGTTCTTGGAAACCCACAGAAGAACAGGCCCTATAATTAATAGAAGTCTCATTAATGACAGGGCGAAGGGCGGGTGGGGCAGGGCGGAGTGTGAGCAGGCTTTCTCTAACTGAACAAAGCCTATCTTCTGCAGAGTGACATTTTTCGTTCTCTCTCTCTCTCTCTCTCTCTCTCTCTCTCTCTCTCTCTCTCTCTCTCTCTCTCTCTCTGTGTGTGTGTGTGTGTGTGTGTGTGTCTCACTTTCATTTGTCTTCTTATTTCGAAGTGTGTCTTTAACACAATTCTTTCAACAGCTGGTTTTGCAATCTGACAGAATTTTCAGTGGTGCGAAATCATTATTTAATGCATTATATAAGTTGTCTGACAGATGATTTGGCAAACCAGTTATATGTTTCAGCAAACAAGTATTCCAAATTCCTAGGTAAACATTCAGATGAAGCATGTGATAACGCTAGCTGCAATGAATGACACACATTTTATATATATTTTATAAATATTTCATACAGTAGTTATTAAACTGACACTGAAACAAAAAAATTCTATAAAGATGGGATATCTTCCTTCAATTTAGCATAAACGCCATTGTTGATACCAATCATCACCGAGGCATTATCGGTACCAATTGCAGCAATATTCTTCGAGTCTAATTGTTTGCTGATAAAAAGTTTCTTTAGTTCAGGTTTCTGCATCACACTTTTCCATTTGAACTAGTCCAAGATATATAGAAACTACTTTGTCTTTACTGTTGCTGTAATATATAATACACACACCAAGCACTTTGTACAGAAATGTCATTCGATTCATCTAATAATAAACTCTATTTTTTTTTTTTTTTTTATCACAGATCAAATATTGTTCACAGTAAGAAAATAAAGTATTTCTTACAATTTGTGTACACTTGCTGCGATGCATTTTTACGTCATCAGTAACTTTACTGTCAGAAATGAATCAAATGGTCACAGTTCAAAATTGCACAACGACAACTTAAAAACATTGCGACAGATCCTTCAACTTTTGATGATTCATTAATCGGTTTTAGTTCTGAAAACATGCCAGCGGTGTAATATCTTTGAATGGAACTGCAGTTTTATGGGCACTCTTCCGAATACCGGTCCCAAATTATTCACTGCCAAAAACTTCCCTTTGAGAGCCTCAATAAGTTATGTAGTAAAAGCATTTAGGCCATCATCATCAGTTTCCACTTCTGCCGTTAGTGCTCGACAGACAACGATGTTAAGACCTTAGGCTAAGCGCCGGGGAGAGGGGGAATGGGGTTGTTTAAGATCCATTGACGCGGCGTTTGGTGGAAAATGTTTAGATTCAATGTTCAAGTGAAGTGGGGACGATTAGTTTTCGATCCATTAAAGCGGCGTGTGGAGGAATAGAATAGTTTTTGATCCATTTTTTACATTACTCGTGACTCCTCTTGTGGGTTACAGGGCCACATGTTTGAGGGGAAAAAAGAATAGATCCACTGCCACCTAAAAAGTCTGTTGTAACAGGCGCCTAAATAAGACTGCTGAAATCGATTGTGTTAGTGTAAAAGGAGCAGATATCACAGCCTATCTGTAAACCACAACAAAACATCCCAACTGTCCTTTTAAGGGCTAAAAATAAAATTATCACCCTGCGGGGAATCGAACACCGAATACCCACGTACCACGTACAACTATACTACCGAAGACTAGAGAGTTGGGTTCCCATGAAATTATAATAACGCTAAGCATAGTTTGTAGCGTTCCTGTTCCATATTTTAAACTATATGACCTCTTGAGGCCCTAAATGGGATTTTTTAAACAGTAAATAATTTGGGACCGGTATTCGGAAGAGTGCCCAACGAGCCTTAGTCGTATCCCCATAAACTGCCATCACCCCGTCTTTAATTTTGTCATCTTGCAGCCACTCATTCCGAAATGTTTGCTCATACTGCTTTACTTTTGGCATGTTGAAAGGTTTTCCAAAGTAGAAGACCTATATGAAGGTAAGCAATTATTTAAAAAAAAAATTGCTACAAAGTCAGCATCACAGCTATACTTCACAACACAGTGAGGATACAGTTCAAACAAAGACAGTATGATTTACACGAGCTCTAAATCAGTACCGGGGCTGCCAGATTGTTGAGCGTTGACCCCAGTGAGTTCAAAGTTTTGAGTAATCGTAGTTACCACAGTGTTCGTGCCCAGACCAGAACTAAAATGTGTAATAAATATTTCATACAGTAATTATTAAACTGACACTGAAAGAAAAAAAATCTATTAAATATCTAACTCCAAATGAAAAACACCTACCATCTAGACGTCGAAAATACCATCTAGATAACATGTTAACTGAAAGTACAGTTAACTGTAGCAGTAAGTTGAGTAAGTGTATAATACTTGAAGTGCTAACCATCGCTGTATTATTAGTTGTATAACAACTGGTCCCAGCATTATATTCATCATCATCATCAGTTCTCGTTATGCCTAGTGGCACAGGAGGCTTCAGAGAGGACTTTCCATGCTTTCCTGTCCTGTGCAATCTTCAGTGCAGTTCTCCATGTCAAAAATGCCGCACTTCTGTCACTTTCCGTCGTTCGTCTCCATGTTGTTTTTGGGCGTCCCTGTTTTCTCTTTCCCAGGATTCATTCTCATAACGTGGCCAAGCCATTTCCATCTTCTCTTGGTTATCATACTGTCTAAAGTTTCTTAGTTTGTGACTTGAAGTAGTTTAGTGTTTGAGATTGTATCTGGCCAGAAAATTTTGATAATTCTACGTAGACATGTGTGGTGGAAGGTGAACAGCTTCTGTGCATCCTTTTTGGTTATTATCCAGCATTTCGCTTTATAAAGAAGAACTGGCAAAATGAAGCTTTTGTAGAATCGGAGTTTCGTTCCTCTGCAGTAACTGTTGGATTTCCAGATTTGCCTCATCCTTCCAAAAGCAGCTCTAGCTTTGTTCAAACGTGACTGTATGTCCTCTTCGGTTCCTCCCAGTAGGGACACCACACTGCCAAGATATGTGAAATGTTCTACATTTTCAGGGTTTGGTTATTTATGGTCACTGGTTGTTGGTTTGGACTGCTTGTCATGATCTTAGTTTTCTTTTTATTTATTCTCAGTCCCACAATTTCTGCTGTGCTGTGTAGTCTGTTACTTTTTTCTTGTATATGTTTATGTGAAAGGAGTGCTATATCATCTGCAAAATCAAGGTCCTCAAGCATGGTGAATGGAGTCATTCGTATGCCTCTCAATGTCATGTCTACTGTGTTCTTTAGTAATTCATAATTGGGTAAAAATAACCCGAGCTGTAGACATCTAATAGACACACGTGAAAGTGCGTCATAAAACTCTGTAGTCCTCCAAGGACTTCTATTTCTTTGTGACAAAGAAAGTACAGTAGTAAGGGTTCCTGGGCAGACCAGTGAACTGGGGCCCCTGCAACAACCACTCACAGGAGTTAAATTTGTATTGAGGACAAGACACTTGACATACACAGATTCGCATGGGACCCACATACTAGTGCACAGAGGGCCCATGCATCAAGACGGCACTGCGTCCAGGTAATAATGTTAAAGGAGATATCTGCAGCAGCACTACGGCCTAATTAAAGAGGGACTGCACGCCCAAGTCATGCTAAAATAATGCATTGTCGGGAATGAAAGGGAGAAAATGACGATATTATAATATTACGACATGGTCTTGACTAATGGTTCAGTCACATGATCTGTCAGAAACAAAATGTCGTCGGAAAAGTTTGAGAGCTTGGAAGATGATTTGAATCGGATAACTGACGAGCTAAAAGAAATTGAAAGAAATCTCTCACACCAAAGTGGAGGTATCTTGTAAACTGTGTCTTGAGTTTGTCTTTGACGGCATGATAATTAAAATATACGTTTTTTAAATTTTGAGCATGGAAAAAGAATGAAATGTCAAATACGCGCAACAGCAACTGACAACAATTACACTAATTACAGTGCTCTCCTTTCAACTTCGGACGGTATCTGGACGGCTTAGGTCGGCTCAGTGGGAGTTCTCTCCCTTGGCCAAGGAGCGGAAAAGTCACGAATCAAAGAAGACAGTGAGGTCGACATCAGGGCTGCCAATGCTTGGTTGTGTCCCCCAGATCTGGTTTTTTTTTTTTACGCTGCGGGGAAATCTGGGGGTTTTTTTTTGGGGGGGGGGGGGGGGGGGGTTACAATTACAAACAAAGTTCAAACTCTTTTTCTCTGACGAATCGGTCTGCAATCTTAGTTACCATTGTGTACTAACTATTACTATTCGGAGTAGAAATTGGTACCACAGTCTGGGGAGCGCGATGAATCAGTTCAACTTAACTCATTGGAAAAATAAATTTAGTAGGAGTAAACTGGTAAACTTGTTTCAGTTCAGACTAAGTTTAAAGCTAAAGTTATGATACAATTTTAATTGTTGCCCCATTCAGATTTCCTTGTTTATTATAATAAATGTTAGGCTCTCCTCTGAACGGCATCTTAATATTATGGCGGCCATAAAATATCCAAAAAAATCCCAATGGGGCTCAGTTCTATTAAAAATATGCCGGCTCCGTATAACGAAACAAATGCTCTAACAGGGTCTCAGCGATATGTTACTTGCAGACCTGTTTCTATGACTGTGCCTCACCGCCGACTGTATCACCCGCGCCGCTACGCGCGGCGTGGATGGGGGCTAAACTAGATGGCTGGGGCTCACGAGCAGCAGCTACCGCATCTCCTGCAACTTCCTCCAACTAATTTGCTCATGAGTCCCAGGCACCTAGTTTAGCCCCCCATCCGCGCCGCGCGTAGCGGCCTGGGGGATACGCTCTGCGGTAAGTTTAATTGCGTTTTGCGCATGCCAAAAAAGGGTGAGGATACAGGTCGGCAGGTCTGACATCTACCGCTGCTAACTCCTCAATCAGATGAACAGTATTACTAATCTGTGTGGGAGCGCGTGGTCTACCCTCCATATCGCTTTCATCGTCTGTAATGTCTCGAAATAGTCAACGGTCACTAATATCGTCTGCTAGTATCATCTGCAGAAACGCTCGAAATTGTCAACGGTCGGTATTTATCGTCTGCTACTACCGTGTGCAATGTTGATATTGTCAAGTAATCTTAGTTTTGCCGCGATTTGTTCCTTGCCAGAAGGTCCGTATTTTAGATATGCCTGAGCCCCGTTCAGATATTTTTGGATATTTTTTGGCCGCCATAATATTATGATGCCGTTCGGAGGAGAGCCAAATTTTATATATATACACGTGTTAAAGTTACAGAAAATATTTTTGTTAGCTTTATATTACGTTTCTAATGTTTAACTCAACGGTGAGCAGTGTTTGATTTTTTATAAGTTAGTGTGAATGAGTCTCGACTTTATGTGTAGTATTTAATTGTAGGAAATCACAAGTTATGTAACTGAGAACAAAAAGTGTGAAGTTATATTTTTTTATACATTATTTTTATTTTTTTATTTTTTAATAATAATCTAATTAAGTTGGCGTCTGTGGCTGAGGTGTTGCGAACACGCTTCCTAATGCCAGGTTCGATCACAGCTGCAGACGGTTTGTCTGACGTTGGTTTCAACAGTGATACCGAGAGCTGACCTTCCAGAAAACAGTGACAAACTACTGAATGTAAAATTTGCACAGTAAAATCACACTTAAAGATTTTAGGGGTTGGTTCTGCAGCGTCCTGTAAGGGGACACAACTAACTTTAACTTCATTAATAATTACGCATGTTTTGAAATTCTGGGTGGAAGAGAGGAATGTTTCTCTCAGTAGAACACTTTAGACAAGAGAGAAATGTTTCTCTCAGAAGAGCACTTTAGACAAGACTGGAATGTTTTTCTCAGTAGAACACATTAGACAAGACAGGAATGTTTCTCTCAGTAGAACACTTTAGACAAGAGAGAAATGTTTCTCTCAGTAGAACACTTTAGACAAGAGAGAAATGTTTCTCTCAGTAGAACACTTTAGACAAGAGAGAAATGTTTCTCTCAGTAGAACACTTTAGACAAGAGAGAAATGTTTCTCTCAGAAGAGCACTTTAGACAAGACTGGAATGTTTCTCTCAGTAGAACACATTAAATAAGAGAGGAATGTTTCTCTTAGTAGAACACATTAGACAAGAGAAGAATGTTTCTCTCAGTAGAACACATAAGACAAGAGAGAAATGTTTCTCTCAGAAGAGAACTTTAGACAAGACAGGAATGTTTCTCTCAGTAGAACACATTAGACAAGAGAGGCAGAGGTAGACAAATATGTAAATGTAAACAGTCAATAAACAAATAACCTTATCAAATAACAGAGGACTGGAGAGTTACCATATACTTATGTAGCGGATCTCTGCCCCAGATCAGGCATCACAAGAAGATTCTGTGTGTGGCTCTGGCATAATTACAGTGGGGCCTATGCTATGTAATGTACAGGTGTATTGGGAAATGAACTGGCAGACAGTTTGCCTGCTGCTGCACCCACTGGGTACTGAATTAATTCATGACAAGCTTGGTTTGGTCAAGGCCCTTTAGAAGCGAGTACACACTGCAGAAGTGCAAATAAATCTTTATGGACTCTCCACTCAGAGGAAGGGCAAGATAAGACATATAATCAAACTGTTGCTGGTTACATCAAAATTGGAGCTCTTCGCTGGCTGTCAAAGGCGAGAATGTCCCAAGTGCTGTTTACTTAACTGTTTATTGTGAAGGTAGCACTATTTGTATGTTGCTCCTTCTGAGGATACCGTGATGCATGCAAGGTACACTATTTATGCAGTTAATTTGATCTTTTACAAACCAGATCAAATTATTCATGCGTAGTGTATAAACTGTAGTGTGGCTGATAAAACCTCACACACTCAGCTGCGTTTCTTTTGTTTCCTCAGAAGAGAGAAAAAATGCCATTAGAAAAGTTGAGAGGAAATTGGAAGATGGAAATATCATTGTAAGTAGTTTTCTTTCTTCCATCTTTGTTTGTAATCTTCTGCTTAAATTAAAAATGCGAACAGGGCTTTGAACTTTGGTATAATTAGCACAGTTACAAACAGACTAACCTGGACATTCGCACACACACACACGCATTAGGCACACCTTTGTTCCACACATGTGAATAAACCCTCAAGAAAAACATCCTCTTGCCTAGTATTTTAGACACTAAAAGCTAATTTCTGTATTTGTCATCTTCTGCTGATATGTCACATACACTTAAGAAAAATGTTTGTTTTTTCCAGCTCAAATGACTGATCTTTAAAATCTACAGTTGTTAATATTTTGTTTTATTTTTTGTCCAAGTTATTATTAACATTCTAAAAAAAAAATAATTTGAAAAAACAAAACAACAACAACATTGCTACTTACCTCATTTCATAACATATGTCCAATTTTCCTATATGTGTGTTCATACAGAAGAACTTCAACAACAAAAAAAAAAAAAAAAAAACGTTAAAAAAAACTACATAGAAACACATTTACAGACATCTGCTTACACAGAAAACACCAACAAAAAAGTAATAAGTAAATGTTGCTTTTATTATTTTCTCTTTAGCTGTTTGTTAAAGCTGAAACCACTTTCAATGTTAAAACTGTTACAGTTTTTATCTTACAAATGAAATTAAACTGTTGTTTACAAACAGTTGCAAGAACTTGAAAGTGAAGCAAAACTGGCTCCTGTCAACTATCGGACCCAGATGCTGGGAAGGTTACGTCATCATCGCAGCGACATTGAGCAGTTGGCCAGGAGTTTAGTAAGTTTATACTTTCACTTCCGGTGTTTATTCTTTCACTTGTCTGTTATTATTTTTTATGTTTATATTTATTCTGCCACTGCTAGAGATTGAACCCTGACCTATGTAAAATTGCAATTTTATTATGTAAATCAGGCATGTCAAACTGACTGTCCCCTGAAGGTCATTTGGGTCACATTTGTGTTGTCATGAGGGCCACAAACTAATTGTGTCATTGAATAACAATTATTGCATCATATTTTTTTTTTATTGCGGGCCACAGGTGTGCGTGCAAAGGGCTGCGTATTTGACATGCCTGATGTAGGTAGCTGAGTGAGCCCAGTAGCAGAGTATTCTGTATTGACTCTGCATTTATGCAACCCTCCTTTTACAGTGTGGAATTCCCTGTGTGTGTACCAGGGCCCCGTTGTGGAAGAAAAAAGAATAGACTCACTACCCCCCTAAAAAGCATGTCATAAAGTTTGGCATATTAGGGGTATTTCCTTCCAAGTGGGAGTGCATCTGCCTGAGAGGAGAGGCACACAAACACTCAAGTTCTGGAACAAGACCAATGTCCAGAAGTGGATGAACAACCAGAACTTTCCGCTGCAGTTTAGAGCCAGTGGATACTAAGAAGAAAAAGCGTAGTATGGAAAGTTCATTTTCTTCGGCTGCTTTTCCCTGACAAAGACCAACATACATAGACAGACTTTATGGAGGGCAGCACCTGTAGAAGAAGAGTTGATGAAAACCACATCACAACAGTGAAACTGTGCATTGTTCCTTGAGACTGACAGGAAGGCGAACCTTGTCAGCAAATGCCTGAAAAAAAAAGTTGATGTTTCAGCTGAAAGATTCAAATATCTCAGTTCTGTTGTAATCAGATAGAATCACTTAAAAATATCTGACGAAGAAGAAAAATGAAGATGATTAACCCTGATTATTCTCTATTATACATCACATGGGATTCTACGGCAACAATGCAGTGGTTTCAATATGGATGGAATCCAGTGCAGCACATGGGGCTTCTCTCTTCAGCATTCATCTTAGAGGTCCAAGTGTACCTGTATTAATGTATTTTATATTATTTATCTGACAACACATTTTTTTTGTCTGCAGAAACGGGGAACTGACTCAGGCTTCAGTGGCACTGATAATTATGGTTTTGACAGAGAGGAAGTAAGTAAGAGTTAGTTAGTTGCGTATCCTTTACAGAACATTGAAGAACCAACCCCAGCATTTTTTTGGGGGCTGTTTTGGTTTTTCTAGGCTAATTGACGTCCAGTAGTTTGCCATTTCTTTCTGGATGGTTAGCTTCTCGATATCACTGTTGTAACCAGCGCAAGGCCCGCAGCTGGGATCGAACCCGGCACCCTGGCATTGTGAAGTGCGTTCGCAACGCTTAAGTAAGAATGTTAAGGGAATATAGAGAAGGTGGCTTGTGTGGTGGATGTTTGACTTTGGCCTGTTTCTCCTGGATACTAGCCATACAAGGAATCATCATACTTTATGTGCCGTTAATCCTCACATAGCACATACTTTCGATTCCTCCACTCTGCTCTGTTGCATGCCACTCTCTTGATTTCTGACATTGAGTTGAGCCCAGCATTTTAGCCTCTCATAATAGTGTTCTTGGTGTTTCTTCTGGCCTGGGTGTCCTCTTTTTCTTAGACTGTTTCCCATTTCAGTGCTTGTTTTGTAATTCTTTGCTCATTTCATCTCAGAGTGTGCCCAGTATATCTCCACTTCCTTTGTCTTACTGCAGTCAATACAGATATTTGTCCAGACATTTCTCTAATCTTCTCACTCTTTTTGAATACAAGAAATACATTAGTAACCTATACCCCTTCTCATCAATAAGTTATTCTGCATCTTTCTTAGGTTCACCCAGATTCATTTGTTTTTTTCTACCCTTATTCCTTTATTAGATCATGAAACTTCAACCTTTTTCTTCATGTTCATGGCTTTAAACTCCAGCAGAAAAACCTGGTTGTTCATCCACTTCTAGACTTTGGTCTTGCTTAAGGATGTTTTTTTTTTTTCAAGCAAACGAAAGAAGAAGAAGGAGTACTTGAGTTTTGCATCCACATTCGTTTTACAGACCCGACTTATGTGCAGGCTGTTGATCCCTCACCTCTCAGGCAGACTGCGACTTCGAAGGGAATATCAGTCTTATCTATGTTGGCCAGACCCCACCGCCTTCCCTTTTGAAATCTGTTTCTAGGATGGCCATGGAAAGGTCTTGACCTGTATGAGCCTTGGTTCTGGTGCAGCATCTCTGTATCCTGAAATTCAGCATTCTTAACCTTATCATCTCTGTATCCTGAACTTCAGCATTCTTAACATTAGTATCTCTGTATCCTGAACTTCAGCATTCTTAACCTTAGTATCTCTGTATCCTGAACCTCAGCATTCTTAACCTTAGTATCTCTGTATCCTGAACTTCAGCATTCTTAACCTTATTATCTCTGTATCCTGTATTCAGATTCTTAACCTTAGTATCTAAGGGTATCCTGAACTTCAGCATTCTTAACCTTTTATCTCTGTATCCTGAACTTCAGCAAACCTTAGATCTCTGTATCCTGAACTTCAGCATCTTACCTTAGTATCTCCTGCTCTGAACTTCAGCATTCTCAACCTTAGCATCTCTGTATCCTGAACTTCAGCATTCTTAACCTTAGTATCTCTGTATCCTGAACTTCAGCATTCTTAACCTTAGCATCTCTGTATCCTGAACTTCAGCATTCTTAACCTTAGTATCTCTGTATCCTGAACTTCAGCATTCTTAACCTTAGCATCTCTGTATCCTGAACTTCAGCATTCTTAACCATAGTATCTCTGTATCCTGAACTTCAGCATTCTTAACCTTAGCATCCGAATCTCAACCAGGGGAAATCTCCTTCATCTCCTCCTAAATCACCTCAGTATTACTTATCTTTGTATTTGATTCTTCTCCATGTGTTTCTAAGGTTTCCCCCTCATTGTCATTTACCCTGTGTGTTCCTGAGAAAGGAGATTCTAAAACTGTGCCAGAATCTTATTTGTCCTGCTCTCTCTACAATCTCTTCATTAACGATTCTGCCATACTATTTAGTTATTGTATTCTATATATATACACCAGTTAATGATTATTTCTGATACAGTCAAGTCCACTTAAGTCAAGCTCGGATAAGTCCAATTTCAGTTACGTCGACATGACCAGCTTAGTCCTGGCAATTGTCTTTTTTGTGTGTGATGTTTGGATAAGTAGAAATCGTGATAAGTGGAAGCATTTTCTTAGATCCCTGCGACTTCTACTTACCCAGACTCAACTTATATACTTCAACACTGATTTACACATTCTAAGTTTACTACTAGATTTAATTTCTTTTTATTTTCACAATTGTCTGAGTATTTTAAAAGCATGTCTTGTCATTAAGATTCATGTTTTCATGTCACTCTGATTCTGTAGCATGCCCCTGATGACATTTTAAAGTGACATGTCACTGAGGCAATGAATTGTGCAGTCTGTTGATTGAGTTTTACATATATAAATAGCACATTGCCACAACTCAACCATTTTTTTAAATATTCTTCATCCATAATGTATTTTTACTGCCCCCCCTGGCACTTTCTATGAGTACAGTCTAGGGATTTAAAAAAAAAAAGTCCTGCCGACGAACAGGGAGCTGCAGTGGCATGGTTGCTAGACACTGACCTGTCCCCTGAAGGACTAGGGATCCAATCCACATCGAAGCAGATAAATTTCAAAATTCAGATTGGCTCCCAGTTCAGGCTAGCCTAAAATGAGTACCAGGTAATGTTGTGATATCCGTGTCATTCTGCCAGAAATATCCAGTTTCATCAAGTTCACTTTTTATGACACGCTTGTTGAGGAGCACTGCCACTATTGCCACTTTTCTTTGACAAAAAACATCCAAAATGGAGTCCAAAAAATCTAAAAACATCTAAATTTGCGTGGAACAAACATCCAAATAGAGTCACAAATTACACAGCAGTTGATATGACTTACCGTATAGAATGATTTCATCATCTTTACTAAAGTTTGCCTTACAAGATCCACAGGATAAACTTAGCTTGATGATGAAGTTGAAGCTTCAGTTCCAAAATGACTCTGGTATGCTTTAGCTGTTCCAATTTCTTTTAATACACAATCAGGGAGCTGATAAGCGGAACAGCTTTTTCCTACTCTTATCAGGCCGAATTTTATTGTCAAGATAGCATTTAAGAGGTCAAATTTTATCCTGTTTCTTAGGTTAAATTTGATAAATTCACTCCAAATAAAAACATCTAGAAAGACATCTACCATCTAAACGTCAAAAATGCCATCTTAATGCAAGAAAAAACATCTAAAACTGGATGTAAAACATCCAAAGTGGTAACACTGGGCACTGGGTCTGTTCTCTTCTGCTCAAATTAGGGCCCCCAGAACCCAAGTAGGAATGTCAAAGCATTCTAAAGTCATGCCTTACTGTAAGGCTATTCATCTGGCCTAGCAAGTGGCCCGTAGATCATTGGCATTTGTATTGTATTCATGATCTTTCTGTGCTGGGAGCTCTAGCCTCAGACCCGTGACTTCATCCATTAAAAAATGTCTGGCCCCTGAGTAAACTTAGTTAAAAAGCCCTGCCACACTGTCCTATGTATACTGTGATATCTGCTTCTTTCATTCTTGTTTAAAAATTCTTATGGGAAAGTGATGTGATAGTTTGCCCTTGTTTATCACAGTTATGTAAGTATCCAACTGCTAATAATTGCTGTTTGGATTGGGTAAGAAGTAATTCATCTTTTTTACTTATCATTGCAGCGACTGGACTCATCGAACCGAGCAAAGTTGCTTCAAGGACACCAGTCACTGCAGCGAGCCTCAGAGAGTATATTAAGGTCACACCAGATTGCAGCGGAGACAGACCAGATTGGGGTGGAGATTATTGACGAGCTCGGAGAACAAAGAGAAACATTATTGAGAGCTAGAGACAGAGTAAGTCTGTTTATAAACCTAAGTTAAACATTAGTCTGCTAAACATGAACAGTTTTTTAACATATCTAGGTTAAACAGTCTGGTAAATATTGGTTAAACAGTCAAGTAAATCTGCTTGTAAACCTAACTCCCTGTGTGGGTTCCAGGGCCTGTCTCAGGAGCACTTGTCCTCAGTTTGAAACAGAATTGATTAATGTTTATCCGTGGCTGCATGCTGCAGGGGTAACAACACAACTTTCTCTAGCTAAACAAAATGGCGGCTAACTTGTCATCTGCTGACCAGGTGGCATAACAGTTTTGCCAGATCAGAGATGAATGGTACCAGTTTGGATTACTTGCTTTGCTTCATGGGTGGTGTTTTCATCTTGGCCATAATACAGTCAGTCTCACTATTTAATTGTCAGACTGTATTCACCATGCCACCTCCCCCTTGGGAGCAGGAAGAGGGGGAGAATAGACCCACTGCCTCCCTAACAAGCATGTCATAAGAGCCAACTAATTAGGGGTTTCCTTCAAAATCAGAATGCATTTGCCTGAGAGGTAAGGAACCATACAAATAAGCCAGATATGTGAAGCAGATGCAAAGGTCAAGTTCTGGAACAAGACTAAGGTCAAGAAGTGGTCGAACAACTAGAACTTTCTGCCGGAGTTTATAACCGGTGAACACTGAAGAAATTGAAGTAGAAAAAGACTGTGCAGCCCATTAAGCATTGATTTGTCTGTAAAATTATAGGGCTGGCAGCATATGCCCAATGTGCCTCAAATAGTGAAAACATCTTCTTGAGATATACAAATAGTGAAAACATCTTCTTGAGATATACAAATAGTGAAAACATCTTCTTGAGATATACAAATAGTGAAAACATCTTCTTGAGATATACAAATAGTGAAAACATCTTCTTTAGATATACAAATAGCAGGTCATATTTATTTCACTCATCCTTTTCCTTGATGTTGCATTGAGCCCACCTCATGTCCCCCTGCATTGTAAAAAATCAGTTTTTTACACCTGGCTTGAAAAATTTCAGTTTTTGTCTGTGTGTGTGTTTGCACGTGAGTGTCAATGGGTGAGTGTGTGTATGTATGTATTATGTATGTGTATTAGCATATGTGTGTGTGAGGGAGTGTATGAGTGGATATGTTTCTGTGGGTATGTTTGTATGCATGCATTTTAGCATCCACGTTTTTGTATTTTTGATAGATTCACATTATTCATACTGGTATTTGAACACAACATGCTGTATTGATAAAATACAACTGCTGTATGAAAAATAGCTGTTTGGAAGGGCCGAACGTAAGACATGTCTGCGCGCCCAATTTGTGACCTTTTGAAAATAAAGTTTGTTCATTTGTTCAGTAAATTCTTGTATAATTCTATATTTTTAAAAATCCTAGTCAGTATCACTAATAATTACTAAGCTGATATAATAATTTGTTTTCTTGTTTTTTGACACTTCATATTTTGTTCTAACTTTGGTTTGTTTAGATGAAAACTGTCTGTTATAGTTCTCTACTCAGTCCAATTATTTTCATTTACAGTTGGTAGAGACAGATGCCAACCTTGGGAAAAGCCGTCTTATACTCAAGGGAATGGCTAGAAGGTAAGCAGACGTCAACTTAAAAAAAATTATTGTTTTAAATCCAGGAAATTGCATAGAAAATAGGCATTCATTGATTGTCTTTGTGTAAATTACTCTTTTAGACAGAATACCACATCTTTGTTATCATTGGATTAAAAAAAATCACAGGTTTGCTACCTACTGGACCAAATGTCACATTTTCTCACATATTTGCTGTAACCAGACTAAATATCACATCTTAACTGTAATTGGACCAAATATCACATATTTGTTATAATAGGACCAGATATTACATCTTTACTGTTCTTCTTCTTCTTCTTCTTCACTTCCTCTTTTACCGCTGTGGGTGTAGAGGAGAGATATAAGGTTCTGGCCGCCTCGACCATAGGCACATCGTGCTGTTGTAGAGTTTCTCTGATGTTATCTTTCCATCTTGTTCTTGGTCTACCTCGTGCTCTATGTCCTTCTTCTCTTTCCATGTATGCTTTGTATGGTATGGTGTCACAAGGCATTCTCTCTAAGTGGGCAAACCATTTCACTTGCTGTCTTCGTATGTAATTTAGAATTGGTTCTGTGCCGACTTTTTCTTTTATGATCTCATTCCTGATCTTATCTCTTATGGTCACTCCCACAGCCCTTCTCAGACATCTCATTTCCATGGTTACTAATTTTCTTTTATGGTTTGTTGTGAGTGACCATGTCTGGCACTGGTAGCACAGAGTTGGAATAAATATGCTTTGAATAAGATGTCTCTTTGTGCTGATTGGGATTGTCTTATGCTGTAAGAGGTGGGCTAGCTGTCCCAATACTTAGTTTGCTTTACTGCATCTAATGTTAATTTCCTAATCCAATTTCCCATATCTTTACTGTAATAGGACTAAATGACATATTTCTACTGAAATTGGACAACAGTATTCTTTTTAGAACGAAAGAGGTGGTTTACATTGTACTAAATAAATTTTATTTGCGTGTGTGTGTGCAGATTGCTTTTAATTTTACACTGGACACAAATTCACTGTAATTGAAACAGATATCACATCCTTACTGTAACTGGACATCCAATATTTTTTTCAGAACAAAAGAGGTGTGAGATGGTTGTATATTACTAAATGGATTGTTTTTTAATGTGTGCAGATTCCATGTCAATGTACGTTGTAATTTTTTCTATTATTTTTTTTTTAATTACTCAACAGGATGATGAGCAACAAACTCATTTTGCTTGTGATAATTTTGATAGAACTGGCCATTCTTGGTGGAGTAGTTTACTGGAAATTTTTCACTTGATGTGCCATTTTGCATTCCGTGAGCAAATAAAGTACAACGTTTGGCTTTTTAACAAGACTAAATCTGGACATTGTGTTATGAAAATATGTTGGGTTCACCTGTTGGCTATATTGTATGCATTTCTCATCACTAACATGTGGGGTCAGACTGCTGGCCTTGCCAAAGAGATCAAGTTGCCGGAGAAAATTTTGTCTGTAGACTTGATTTCCTGGAGAGACCTGGCTTCAGTGATTGTAAGAAACTTGATCGCATTGGTTTTTGTGGTGAAGAAACGGATAATTTAAAAAAAAAAATTTATTAATTTTGTTTATAATGGGGGAAATTTTTTAAAAGGAAAGATCTTTTTTCTATTGTCTTTAATTGAGGGAAACTTCAACGAAAGAACTTGATAAAACTGTGTTTCTTTTTAGATAGTTACAAATATAGAGACTGGGCAACAAAAAGAATCCTCTTGTAGCCTAGTAAAATGTATTATTGCCTTTTAACGCTATTACATTTGGAGGAAATTTCTATGTATACATGTGTGGTCAGTTCTTAAGAAAGAGAATAGGGGCTTTTGAGCTGAAATGCTATAAAGATTCTCAGAATATCTTGGACGAAAAGAGGAGAAATACTGACATCTTGAAAGATCTGAACATCAAGGAAGATTGACCAATAGACAGCATCCTTTCTCGAAAGCTGAAATATTTTGGTCATATCAAGCGCCACGACGGATTGGGAAAAAATTATAGCAGAAGGCATGGTACCAGGAAGGAGGGTCAGGGGCCGACCAACAGGAAGATGGGCATAGGATATAAGTGACTCCTTGAGTTGGAAAGTGCATGAGGCGGGAGAGCTGGCGAGAGACTGAGTTTCAGGCAGTCCGTGATAAGAGCTACGTTCTGCAAAGGACCTGCTACATGATGATGATGATGACACGTGTGGGATGATATGGGGATAAAATAGCTTAGTGGTAGCTATACCTTCAGAAATGTTACAGAAGATATGTGGAAATTTCCTTGGACATTCAGAATGAGTTGTCCTTATTGTTAGCCTTGATCCGCTGTAAACTCTGGTGGAAAGTTCTAGACTTTGGTCTTGTTCCAGATCTTGAGTTTTGTTTGCACATATATTTAACAAATCCGCCTTAATGGTCTGCTCACTTTTGGCTCCTTGCCTCTCATGCAGATGTACTCTAAAGAAAACATTCCTAGACCGACTTTCTACCCCCCCCTCTGAACCCGCACAGGAAGTTGTAATGCTTTAAACGAGGCCAGGCACAAAAACAAATCAGGCATGTAATTTTTGTTTATTGGGGCCACGTATTGAAAGAGGCAAACTGGCATATGTTGTGACACATGGAAAGTTGTTGCTTAGACCTTGAACAGTCAAAGTTAAGAAAAGATAAATTAAATGAAATGACCCTTTATCGCACCATTCAAAGTTTAGGAAAAACTAATTAGATGAAATAACCCTTTATCGCACCATTCAAAGTTTAGGAAAGACATTCGATGAAAGGACCCTTTATCACACCATTCAAATTTTAGGAAAGACAAAATAAATAAAAGGACCCTTTATCACACCATTCAAAGTTTAGGAAAGACAAAATAAATGAAAGGATCCTCTATCGCATCATTCAAAGTTCAGGAAAGACAAAATAAATGAAAGGACCCTCTATCACACCATTCAAATTTTAGGAAAGACAAAATAAATGAAAGGACCCTCTATCGCACCATTCAAAGTTTAGGAAAGACAAAATAAATGAAAGGACCCTCTATCACACCATTCAAAGTTTAGGAAAGACAAAATAAAAGGACCCTTTATCGCACCATTCAAAGTTTAGGAAAGACAAAAAATCTATCACACCATTCAAAGTTTAAATGAAGTTTAGGAAAGACAAAATAAATGAAAGGACCCTCTATCACACCATTCAAAGTTTAGGAAAGACAAAATAAATGAAAGGACCCTCTATCACACCATTCAAAGTTTAGGAAAGACAAAATAAATGAAAGGACCCTCTATCGCACCATTCAAAGTTTAGGAAAGACAAAATAAATGAAAGGACCCTCTATCACACCATTCAAAGTTTAGGAAAGACAAAATAAATGAAAGGACCCTTTATCGCACCATTCAAAGTTTAGGAAAGACAAAATAAATGAAAGGACCCTCTATCACACCATTCAAAGTTTAGGAAAGACAAAATAAATGAAAGGACCCTTTATCACACCATTCAAAGTTTAGGAAAGACAAAATAAATGAAAGGACCCTTTATCGCACCATTCAAAGTTTAGGAAAGACAAAATAAATGAAAGGACCCTTTATCGCACCATTAGGTATACATAGTGCTAGACCTATATTTATAGACCAATGAGCATTTGGTGGGTGATGTAGTCAACATTATGCCAGCCGCCTTTACTTCCCAGGACTTATCTGATACCCATTTCATGCTGGATTGACCTTTTTGTCTTTTTAGGAAAAACCCTCTCCCCTCAAAAGTCCTTTTAAAACTATATGTGCTGAGTGAAAAGGTTTGATTAAACAGTGCAGTGTAACTTTTAGAGGCTTGAATAAACGGTGGAATGTAACTGAAAAGGTTGATTAAACAGTGGAATTTATTTGCTCTGTTACGGTTACACACCCAAAGCACTTTCTTGAAAAGCAAGCACATCAATCTCTACCCCTGGCATCATCATCATCATCATCCAGACAGAAAACCAAGACAATCCCGGTGCTGTACATCCTGTACAAATCCTGCTTCCCTGGGATTTGAACTCAGTCATTATCATCATCATGTGCTCTGCTGTGATAGGCAGTCATGTTTTCCTGTCCCACTTGATCAATAAATTTATATATTAGGTCAGTTTACTTGTCCTGTCACCATCCATATGGCCAGGCCAACCAGCTATTTATGACATGTCTTTCCCTTTGCTTTCTTCCCATCCAACTTGCCAGTTGTCACCAAGTTCTTGAATGTTTCTTTATCACAGTTATAGGGTTTAGCGGTCAGTGCATTATGCTGACACTGCTCTTGTTTTTTTTAATGATGAATTTATGTTTGAGTGGTTGTTTGCTGTATTTATTACAAATCATTCTGTGTGTGTGTGGGGGGGGGGGGGGGTGCAAATTTTATGTAAATAAATTTGTAATACTGTGCTGTGAATACTGAGTTTAAAATTAAAGACTCATTATTACATTTTTTGTTCTTAGTCATGTTTTTCATTTTCTGTTGTTTACTGTTTACATTTATAATTTGACATGTGTATACCACATTTTCCCAAAAATAAGACCGGGTCTTATATTAATTTTCATTTAAAACATGCACTAAAGGCTTATCGGGGGATTTATTCATGTACATAATTCTACATTTATTCATAAAGGCAAACTGGTAACATTAATTCAAGAATATGAGCGCCCATCTACGACAATATCAATGACAAAAAAAGGGTTAGCACAGTTTGAAAAGAAATAAGCAGAGACTCACTAAACAAGTAGGAAATGGGCAGCGGATGGATGGAGAGAATTAGGACATCCAAGAGAAAACAGAAAACGAAGACTGTTTAGAGAAGTGAAAGGTGCTGGGGTGGATTCCATCAGATCTCATGAATGGATTGTGTTATGTCTAATGGCAGTACAGGATGATGATCAATGTGATCTATGACAACAAACTCTCTCTTCTTTTTCTTCGCATTCACCGGCTGTAAACTCCGGTGGAGAGTTCTGGTTGTGTGTCCACTTCTGGAATTTAGTCTTCTTTCAAAACTTGAGTTTTGCATGCAAATCCATTTTAAAAAGCCTGGCGTATTTTTATGCAGGCTGTTGGTTTCTCACTAACTGGCAGATTGCACTCTGACTCCGAAGGAAGACAATAAATAGACTCTTGTCTTTATTCAAACATTACAAGCTCACACGTTTAGGTTTATATACGGATCAACATCATGGCACAAGGGTAGTATTCATAAGTGCTTGATTCTACTTCTAACCCAAGTCTGAGGCTGAAGAATCTCAGCACAGTGCACAAACTCCATGGCACTTTGGGTTGATTTCCAACTCCACAATTTTGCCTGGGCAGCGCCGTTAGGCTACTCTTTTCGATTTCCAACTGCCAAGGGATTTTTTTTAAATGTGTGCAACAAAACACACGGATGTCCGATCTTACTACCCAAATACCAGGGGAAATAACTAGAAGTCCACATGAAAAAAATTCCAGCCTTCACCAGGGCTTGAACACGGGACCTCCAGCATTCAAGGCAAACACCATGCATTGAGACCACGCAGCCCCCAACACATGTTATTTAAATGTCATTCAGATGTATGTGTTAGCAATAAAAGTCTAACAATGCAACACCATCCTTTCTGTACCTCACAACACCAAACTTTCTGTACCTCACAACACCAACTTTTCTGTACCTCACAACACCAACATTTCTGTACCTCACAACACCAATCTTTTCTGTACCTCACAACACCAACTTTTCTGTACCTCACAACAACAACCTTTTTGTACCTCACAACACCAACCTTTCTGTACCTCACAACAACAACCTTTCTGTACCTCACAACAACAACCTTTCTGTACCTCACAACAACAACCTTTCTGTACCTCACAACAACAACCTTTCTGTACCTCACAACAACAACCTTTCTGTACCTCACAACAACAACCTTTCTGTACCTCACAACAACAACCTTTCTGTACCTCACAACAACAACCTTTCTGTACCTCACAACAACAACCTTTCTGTACCTCACAACAACAACCTTTCTATACCTCACAACAACAACCTTTCTGTACCTCACAACAACAACCTTTCTGTACCTCACAACAACAACCTTTTTGTACCTCACAACACCAACCTTTCTGTACCTCACAACAACAACCTTTCTGTACCTCACAACACCAATCTTTTCTGTACCTCACAACACCAACCTTTCTTTAACTTACAACACCAATCTTTTCTGTACCTCACAACACCAATCTTTTCTGTACCTCACAACACCAATCTTTTCTGTACCTCACAACA